GGGGGGTCCCACAGTGTGAGGACAGTGAGAGATGGGGGGACCCCCGTGTACGGGACTGGGGGGGTCCGAGCCCCTCCCAGAAGAATTTTGGGGACTCCAAACCCCTCCCAGAAGAATTTTGGGGGGTCCAAGCCCCTCCCAGAAGAATTTGGGGGGGTCCAAACCCCTCCCACAAGGATTTGGGGGGTTCCAAGCTCTTCCTACAAGAACTTGGGGGGGTCCAAGCCCCTCCCACAGAGATTTGGGGACTCCAAACCCCTCCCAGAAGAATTTTGGGGGGATCCAAGCCCCTCCCACAAGGATTTGGGGGGGTCTGAGCCCCTCCCACAGAGATTTGGGGGGGTCTGAGCCCCTCCCACAAAGATTTGGGGGGGTCTGAGCCCCTCCCACAAGGATTTGGGGGGTCTGAGCCCCTCCCACAGAGATTTGGGGGGTTCCAAACCCCCCCGCCCCCCCAGACGCCGCGGTCCCTTTGAGCCAGGATCGTGTTCAGCCTTGCGAGGGTGGGGGGTGACATTTTTGGGGAGGGGGCTCAGGGGTCGTACCCCCCCTCCATGAGCCTCTGCAGCTCCCGGGGGTCCCGGGACCCCCCCGCCAGGGCCAGGTACCCCCCCAAAAACTGGTGCAGCATCCGGGGGGGGGCCGAGAGCACCTGGAGCCCCAGGGTGACGTCACCGCTCAGCCACAGACGCACCTGGGGGGGGGAAAGAGGGGTGAGACCCCTCCCCAAAACCTCAGCGCGGCTTCCCAGTCCCGCCCAGTCCTTCCCAGTCACTCCCAGTCACTCCCAGTGCTCCCAGTCACTCCCAGTCCTTCCCAGTCACTCCCAGTGCTCCCAGTCACTCCCAGTGCTTCCCAGTCACTCCCAGTCACTCCCAGTCACTCCCATCACTCCCAGTGCTCCCAGTCACTCCCAGTCACTCCCAGTGCTTCCCAGGGCTTTCCCAAGTCCCGCTCCCACCCTCTTCCAGAGCCTCCCAGTTCCCCCCAGCCCATTCCCAGTGCCCCCCAGCCCATTCCCAGTGCTCCCAGTCCCCCCCCCACCCCATTCCCAGTGCTCTCAGCCCATTCCCAGTCCCGCCCAACCCATTCCCAGTTCCCCCCAGCCCATTCCCAGCCTTTTCCCAGTGTTCCCAGTTCCCCCCAACCCATTCCCAGTTCACCCCAGCCCGTTCCCAGCGCTCCCAGTCCCTCCCAGCCCTTTCCCAATTTCCCCCAGCCCATTCCCAGTTCCTCCCAGCCCTTTCCCAGTCCCTTCCAGTCCCCTCAGCCCATTCCCAGTTCCCCCCAGTCCCCCCCAGCCTATTCCCAGTCCCTTCCAGTGTCCCCCCAGCCCGTTCCCAGTGCTCCCAGTGCTCCCAGTTGACCTGCTGGCTGTCCCAGTTCACGTCCCACTGGTGCAGGTCGCTGTAGCTCCAGCTCCGGGTGACGGCGCCGGAGCCGAGCTCGATCCGGAGCAGCCGCGAGGGCCCCACGGCCAAAACCTCCTGGTGCGCTGCACCCCGAAACCTGCGGGACCCCAAAAACCCCCGAAAATACACCTGGGAACCCCAGAAATACAGCTGGGAACCCCGAAAATACAACTGGGAACTCCAAAATACAACTGGGAACCCCAGAAATACAGCTGGGAACCCCGAAAATACAACTGGGAACTCCAAAATACAACTGGGAACCCCAGAAATACAGCTGGGAACCCCAGAAATAGAGCTGGGAACCCCAGAAATACAGCTGGGAACTCCAAAATACAACTGGGAACTCCAAAATACAGCTGGGAACCCCAGAAATACAGCTGGGAACCCCAGAAATACAGCTGGGAACCCCGAAAATACAGCTGGGAACCCCGAAAATACAACTGGGAACTCCAAAATACAACTGGGAACCCAGAAATACAACTGGGAACCCCAGAAATACAGCTGGGAACCCCAGAAATACAGCTGGGAACCCCAAAAACACAGCTGGGAACTCCAAAATACAGCTGGGAACCCCAGAAATACAGCTGGGAACCCCGAAAACACAACTGGGAACTCCAAAATACAGCTGGGAACCCCAGAAATACAGCTGGGAACTCCAAAATACAGCTGGGAACCCCAGAAATAGAGCTGGGAACTCCAAAATACAGCTGGGAACTCCAAAATACAGCTGGGAACCCCAGAAATACAGCTGGGAACCCCAAAAATACAACTGGGAACCCCAAAAATACAGCTGGGAACCCCAGAAATACAGCTGGGAACCCCAAAAATACAGCTGGGAACCCAGAAATACAACTGGGAACCCCAGAAATACAGCTGGGAACCCAAAAACACAACTGGGAACCCCAAAAACACTACTGGGAACCCCAAAAACACCGCTGGGAATCCCAAAAACACCGCTGGGACACCCGAAAATAGAGCTGGGAACCCCCCCGGAACCTGCGGGACCCCCAAAAACGCGGCTGGGACCCCCCTAGAACACCTGGGACCTTCCAATCCCTCCCAGTGCCCCCCAGTCCCTCCCAGTCCCTCCCAGTCCCTCCCAGTCCACTCCCAGTGCGTCCCAGTCCCTCACAGTGCCCCCCAGTCCCTCCCAGTCCCTCCCAGTCCACTCCCAGTGCTCCCCAGTGCCCCCCAGTCGCCCTCCAGTCGCTCCCAGTCCACTCCCAGTTCCCTCCCAGTTCCCTCCCAGTGCTCCCAGTACCTGACCACGAAGTGTCCCAGTCCGAAGCCGGGCAGAGCCCTCCAGGTCTCCACGAAGCGCAGCCGGGCCTGGGGGGGGCTCAGGGGCCCCACCCGGTGCAAAACCTCCAGGAGCCGCTGGGTGAACTGGGGAGGGGGCTCGGAGGTGAGGGGGGGGGGGG